GAATGCATCACATATGCCATGTCTAACAACGTTAAGAAAAGTTGAATACAATTTGACCTATAATTCAGATTTTGATCAAATTTCGATATGTTCTTCCTCTGTCAACGCCTCAACCTTTTGCCAAATTTCATGAAAATCGGGATATAAATTATTCTGTTATCCTGCAGACAAATCAGTCCTCAAACAAAACCTCACAGTGAAACATAGAGGTTAGCTTTTTATAATTATTTGAAGTTGTTGGTCATTTTAAAAGTGAAAGTGTGTGTGTGTGTGAATGTGTGTCGGCTCTTTTGAGTTTCCAGATTAATCCCCCCCCTCAGATTTGTCACTTCCTGCAGGATTTTAATCTGAGTTTCTATGCAAGACTTCATCAGGAATTAGAGTTAATCGGTCGTCACTGACCTCAACACTTCCTGTTCTGAATACAGCCGTCACTTCAGGGACTCAAAGGAAAAACCAGCGTCAGCCGCGCCTGTCTGATGCTAAGCTACGCTAGCCGCTGCATTGAAACCCAATGACAAATGAAGAAAGAGAGATTTAATGTCCGGCGGTCACCGAGAGAGAGAGGAGGGAACTTTGTAAAAGTTTGAAGGAAAAAAAGAGCTGAAAAATAAGATAAAACTTACAACAAATAATAATACAAAAAAACATAATAATAATAGTAATGAGGAGAACAAATTATAAGAACAGTAATAATAAATAAAATAATAACAAAAAGAAAGAATAATATGCAGTTTGAACCTGAAGATGAAGGAGTAAAAAGAAATGACAAAAATCTCCAGAGGATAAGCGAAACTGTTTCGGCTGAATCAGCACAACTCTCTGTGTGTGTACAGCATGTGTGTGTGATGAGACGTCTTTTACAAAGCGACTTAATCCTCTGTCACACACACACACACACACACACACACACACACACACACACACACACACACACACACACACAGAGTTGTGCTGATTCAGCCGAAACAGTTTCGCTTATCCTCTGGAGATTTTTGTCATTTCTTTTTACTCCTTCATC